ATGAAAGGCAGTTAATGTGTGAATAAATCCTTTGATCTCTTAATTGGGATCTTAGCCCCAGCTATCCTACTGCATAAATTGGATACCACCTCCTTTTAAATCTACAAATCTGTAAGTTTGGTTTAAAAAACAATATGATGGAATATTACTTCTAACCCAGGGCTGCAATTTCAACTTGTATGAAACTAGATAGCAGATATTTATTTACAGTTTAGTTTTACCCAATGTAGTTTCAGAATTCCACATGACCAGAGCAGTCTTTTCCCCTTCGTGCTATACTGATGTGCTGTGCCAAGTTATTGTCATAGTTTTGCTTCTTGAAACGATCATTCTTAGGGTTTGTTTAAGTGTCGTCTTTGCAGAATAACCCAGATCTTTGCAGATTCTAAGACTGCAGTTGTGAAAATTTGTTATAGCCGCTCATTCATCTACAAATTTCCACACATACTACTTTGGGCACCATCTTCACAACTCCACGGAATGTCGGGCTTTTAAATCAGAAACCTATGACCCTGAAGTGCTTACACAGATTAGCACATGAAGAGACTGCTAACAGCGATGAACCATGCAAAGCTATATTGTGTCCTCCACCACCACCACAGTACAGGCCTATCTTTATGTATCAATTATCTTTTCTATACTGATTATCCTTTCAGAAATTCAGATCATGTACCTTTTAAGTAGTAATACAATTTTAGTTGTTAATTAAAGGATTAAGGGAACTTGTAATGTCTATACAGATATGTTTACACATGGTCCATATTGGACCCGCTCCCTATAAATCTTAAATTACCCCCCCATTAAATTTGCTCAGAAGCTTACAACATATTGTCCTCTTGGCATACACTGGGATTGCATGAATGCAGCAGTCTTGCATTATGGATCACACTTTAAACCTTTACATACCTCCTGCCTTGCTTCATTAACTGATGCCTCTATTTTATCTGTGTAGCTGGCCCTTGTTGCCATGTTTTGACTTGGAAATAGCTTTATGTGCTTGCATCTTACACATGACTGCTCAAGCTTCCAACATGAGTCATGGTCACGGGTAAAATACAAGCGCATAAAGCCATTTCATTTTCATAGGAAATGAAAAACAAGGAAGACAGTCAAGGGCGGAGAGTGCTTTGATATTTATATCCTTTGTGGAACCTCTTGTAATTCTTTTGTTCTCAGTTTGGCAATCCCATAAGTTTTTGGAATATTTTCTTGTAACTAAATTGATCCAATGATAGCAACCTTATTCTGTAGGCAAATAAAATGTATTGTGCATTTCATAGTTTCCTAGTAATGTTGATTTCCATTCTGACTGACAGAGACCTGATGTTACATGAATATAGCTACTCTTCCAAAATGTTCAACCAAAGGCAGTTTGTTGAACATATTATTTTTGGTGCTGATTCACCAAAAACGACCACAAATTACGTTTGTACTGATTCGCCACAAAAGATGCAGTAATAATAATCTTAGCATTTCATATAGAGCCTTTCACTTCATGAGGACATCTCAAAGCACTTCACAAGATTTCCTGTACAGTTTAATGAGTGTATATTGCAATGTAAATCAGACCTTAGCCACCAAAAATCACACGAGTCTGGCTCCTGACATTGAGAGAAGATGACTCCGAGGGGACCTCATAGTGGTGTATAACATTTTAAACGGGATTGAAAAGTAAATCCAGAACAATAATTTAGGATCATAAAGGCAGTAGAACAAGAGGACATAGACTTAAGCAATTTCAGGACATGTACCAGAAAATTGTTTGTTTATTCAGAGGGTAATCAACAAGTGGAACAGACAGCAGGAAAAGCGGTTGAGGTCAGGGCACTGGACTCGTTTAAAAGCAGCTTATTGCTGTAACAGGAGGATGATGCGGTGGGTATTCTGGGAGAGAGTTCTGGATGTGAGATCAGATGAGCCGAAGATTCTCTTCATCCAAATCAATCTTGTGATCTTGTTACCAACTGGAGGGGCTCATTTCAACAACAGTTCAGCTGAACCATTGTATTATAAATGCAAAGAGCCATGATCACAATTGGCCTCTACTTTTCCCATTGATCCTTTGAGAGCATTGATCCTTTATTTATCAATCACACAGAACTTCAAAATCCAGGCACCAGCGTAATGCAGTGTGGAGTTAAACAATAAATGAAGCTTCCAACTCCACATTGTATAAGTGAAGCATTATATTGCATTAGCTAATGATTTGGGTTGACATTGCCTATGGATAGGTGTTCGAAGTATCAATAATCTGCTGCAACTGTCCATACCCCTTCAAGCCTCCAACCAGCTGTATAAAAAGATCTTATTTTATAGTGCCATAAAACCAACCTAGCTTGTAGAAGGTATATTTAAAGGAAATATGTTTGATATATTTATTGCGCACACAAGAGGATCCCTTTTCAGGCAATTGTGTGATCCTTGGTACCAATCCAAAAAGAGGCATCCATAGTCTTAAAGTTTATCACAATTTTTTTGCAGCCATATAGTCATTTTCACTGTGTGCTCAACCAAATTCAGTTCACTTGTTTGAGAAGTAAAAAATGTACAAATCAACATTTCAGTGTGTAGTTATTTGGAAACATTTTCGGAAATATATTAGTTATGAAACATTTTTAAATTGTCTTTGGCAGACATGCCTTGCAATATAACGTCACATTTGCAAACCTTTCAGCTGCAGCACTGCTCTTTATAAGAGCAGATAGGAAGTTCCTTATTGCTATTGGGAAATATTGTCAGTGACATTTGCGATATGCACAGACTGCAGACCTTGTTGACTATACACAAAACTATGCTTATTCTTAAAGAATAGCCTATGTCAAAGTAGGTTACATTTTTAACCCAGAATGAATAATTGCAATCCTTGGTGATACTTGGCATGCTTGTTGTGGATTAGTGCAGAGGTCAGTTCATTGAGTTATCATCTTAAAGGCTTCCCTTGAGAAATAATTCAGAATAACTGTTTGTGATCTCTGGAGGAATGAGTAAAAAATGGTACTTAACATTTGTGAAAGCTTTTACTTGTTTTCTTTGGAACTTGCTGTACACGCAACACGATCTGAAAGGCAACAATATTTTTTGTGGCATTATTCAGTCTGGGTCATCGAAGTTCATCAATTGCATGGAAGGCACCTACTTTCCAAACAAATTAGCCTTGGTTTGGCAATGTCTTTAAATGTGTCTTGGTCATTTTTATAGTTAGAAATGTCAAACGGATTGCATTTTTGTTTAAGTCGAGCCTTAAAAGGTAATTTACTTCATTCCTAACTGGGTTCAGATATGTATGCAAATAGCACTCTTTCAGTGAATGCACTTTTGGTCTTTTGCAATATACAGTCAAACTATGAAGTGACAGTGAGAATTAGGCAGCATCAACTACTGCCAGTATTTATTCCGCTGGGACATCCATGCAACTTAATAGTTATGTAGATGCTTGATTTCATTTAATTCAAAAGTAACCGCCCACTCCTATTCTTTTGCATAAGTCATGGAGCAAGGTTAAGATCAATTTGAAGCATGTTTCAATTGAGATGCTGCCATAATCGGTGGTTGAAGCACAAAACATCAAGTATTTAAGAGAAAACTTGATGGATACATGATAGTGAAAGAAGAGGGATATGGGAGTGGGGCTTAGGAGAGATGGAGACTCCTGTGGAATCTAGACCTAAACACGGAATGAATGGTTTGTTTCTGTGCTGTAACATTCAATATGGGTATTAAAGATCCCAAGGCAACACTAAAAAGAGAAGGGAGTTTCTCCCAGTGTGTGGGCCCACAATCCCCACATAAAATTGTTCATTCACTTTGTGGTTGTTTGTGGGATATTGCTGTGTGCAAATAGCACTTTATCATGTTGTGTTCATCTACAAGTACACAGTCGCAACACTTCACACTTTGCATTCTTTGAAGTTTTTTGAAATGTCTTGACAAGTGGTAAGGCACTATATCGAATGCAAGGATTATTATGTAATAATATATATTTCTATACCAAGTTAAGTTGAAGCTACTTTTATTTCCATAATATGCTAGATATTAAATCATGGTTTAGCGAAATTATAAATGTATGTTAAAATGCTTCAGCCTGCGGGGTCATAAAAAGAAACGTAACAACAGTTAAAAAACTAATATGGAATTCAGGTTCTCTAAGATATGTTGTAAGACTTGCTCATTTATTGTTGTGGATTGCATCTGCTTGGTACAACAGCTTTTCAGTATGCCCTAAATTATAGCCATTTTATGTTTATTTCTTAATTGGTGCAAATAAATTTGAGTGACTCACTTTTGCCAAAAACATACTGCACAATTGTTCATTTACATCATAAATAATAATGTAACTGGATCTTGAAATGCTAATTACTCAAAAACCTGCAGTGATTCACCCATGAATATTTATGTTTCACTGCAGAAATCATACCTCAGTAACAGCTGTTAGGATAAAATGTTTCCAAGGTAAATGGAACCTTATCCCCCTATTAAGTTACCAGTATGTATAACATATAAAACGGATACTCTGAAATGAAGCTTCTGCAGGCTGTGAGCTCAAGTCTTCATTTGAACTTTGTTCTCATTGATTTACAATATAATCTGGACCCTGAAATGGGATGATTATCTTGCTGTTACCCTGAGGTATGTATTATTTCAGTGTGATGCATCCTATACTGTCCTCTGAGGAAATAATCTGTATCCTGTTTCACTGTTCATATCCTGTTTGACATGTTCAAAAAATTGGAAACAACCTACTGTAGTTCTAATAGTGTACCGATGTTATAAACAAAACATGAATCACTAATGTGTTTGTTTCCAACGCATGCAATCACCTTCACCAGTGCCTTGGGACATCTTTCCGTTGTGAAAAGTGCTTTACCAATGAAATTTGTTGTTGTTGTTCACCATTGTATTGTATTTCATGTCAAACATATGTCTAACAAAGTATATTTTATTTAGAAGCTGTTGTATAGTACCGCTTCTGACTTTTTTCATTCATTCTCTTTCTTTCTCAGGGAAGCTGTATAATAATGCTACCTTTGTGGAAGAGCGTCACAGACATCGTTGTGAGGTGAGACCTAGCTTGTGGTATCTGTGAGTTATTTCAAAAAAGAAATTATTTCAAAATATGGCCTTGACCTTCGGGCTCTGCATCAATGGATGCATCAATGGGGTTGTCAACAATGAACATAAGAATTTGCTAGGTGAAAGAAAACCAAAGTCCATCCAGTTCTCCTTCCACAATCCTGGCAGTCGCATGATATGTCATGTCCCAAACTATATACTATATCCCGAGATATTATTTCCTAGTAGAATTCTTTCTAATTTGTTCTTGAATGCATTGACACTTTATGATTCCACCGTCTCCCTGGGGAGCCTGTTCCACATGTTTACTACTCGCTCACTGAAGTAGTGTTTCTGCAGATTGGTTCTGAATGAACCCCCTTTCAATCGCAGGCCGTGTCCATGGTTCTACTGTTCTGGACAAGATAAAACAGCTTATCATGGTTTACGTTATCTAGTCCCTTCAGAATCTTAAGGACCGTAATCACATCGCCCCCAACCTTCTCTTCTCCAGGGTGAACAATGCCACAAATTACCACAAAAGGTTCAGATAAAAAAATGCACTTCTGCGCATTTCATCCTCCCAGATAACTAAGGAGAGTGGCTTGAAATAACTCATTTACCATCAATATCTTTATGCTAATTGCAGGAGTGGGAGATTGAATAATACAGTAACAATATAGATTTTTATCACATCGGAATGATGCCTCAAAGTATTTCATACAACTTGCTGGGAGGAACTGCGGAGGGGAAGGGAAAGATATCCAAGGGAGAGGGACACTGGGATGGGGTTCTAGAGAGTTTGGGCAGAATTGCTGAATGTTCCCTCACTGAGACAGAGAGGGTAAGCCATGTAAAGCTGGCTGGTTTTGAGTGCAGAGAGTGGCTGCAGCAGTTGGGTTGCTGAATGTCACAAAAGTAGATTGGGGCAGGCAATAGAGGCATTTCAAAGTGAGGTGAATTTTTAATTTGATCTGGGCAGTCAGCAACCAGTGGAGCTGAGCAAGGATGGGGGTGCGGAGGGGGTGGGGGAAGAAAGGTATGCTAGGCTGATTGGGGGGAGAGGAATTAGGTTGCAGAGATCTGGATGGTCTGCAGCTTGGGTAGGGAAGAGTTTGTTAGTCTGGCAACACGGTTATTGGAAAAGTGGAGCCTGGAGGTGATGAAGGTGTAAGAGAAGCTGGGGTTATGCAACCCTCTATGGCTTGGGTTTGGGAATGTGAGGAGGAGCTGTCTGGAGCCTCGGGTGGCCGGGCTGCATGTGGATTGCACTCGCACTGATGTGTGACTGCAATTGGGTACTGGAGACCAGCTCATCAGAGGAGGTCCTGAGCAGAGAGGAACCAGAGGAGAGTGAGGAATGCAATCAACAAATGAAAGAAAGCATCAATGTTAACCTTATTACAAACACAAAATGTCTTACAAACAGAATTTAATTTGTGTTCCAAGCTTTCCAAATTATGTGGGCGAAATGGCAAATGTTTATTGCAGCAAATAGTGAGATTGTTCCCTTTGGGCATAAAGGGAGCAGAAATTCCATCTGAGTCTAGATTGACTCTATTTATGTAGCATTTCAGAGCGTCTAAAAATGGGTAATTTCTTAAACGTACCTTAATTTTGAAGACTGTTTTCAGTAAGTTTTTTTTAGAACTGTAGAAAAACAACTTCAAAGTTAAGACTTCATGCAATGATTTGCCCAATTCTGGATGCTCTAAAATGCTGCATAAATTGAGGAATTCCTCCTCAAAAAATGGCAGATGAGAATATATTTCTAAATGGCTCAGAACAGCAAAAAGGAATTAGAGGGTTAGGTACAAAACATATCTCATTTAAAGCTATTATAAATGCACAAGAAGCAGTTAAAAAGAATCATAGAACTGCAGAAATTTATAGCACAAGGCCATTCAACCCAATGTGTCTATATTCACTCTTTGAAAGAACAATCCATTTATCTGCTTTTTTCCTCATACTCCTGCAAATAACTAATTTTTAGATATCTATCTAGCTTCCTTTTAAAAACTAATATAAATCCTGCCACGACAACCGCACCCAGCAGGGCATTCCACACCTTAAAAACTGTGTCTATCATTGTGTAAAAAAAATTCCTCCTAATATCACCCTTTGCTCCATTACTAATTATCTTAAATTAATTCTGTGTTGTCACAGATCCTGAGCTTTATCACACAAAGTATAGAATGTCAAAAGGAGATCAGTGCTGCAGTTTTACAGCTCACTGTTTAGATGCTATTTGCAATATTGTGTTCAGTTTTGAGTGCTTCAACTTAGAAAGGATATACAGTACTGGTTTTGGAAGAAGTCTAACATCGCTTGACCAGGATTATACCTGGGATGAAGGGATTTAGTTAACATAAGAAGCTCTACAGGTTATATGGCCAGAGCTGCGAAAATTAAGGAATGATTTAATGAGGTGTTTCAAATAATAAAAGGAATAATTATGATTCTTTTTGCAACTGGGAGAATTCAGAACAAATAGATATTATCTTAAAATTAGACCAATACTAAACAGAAACCATTTCATAATAATCCCAGCCTTGGATAAAGTGCCTTATCACATTTCAAAGTACTTCATGGAATTTACTGTGGAATAGAGTGACCGTGTGCAAGCATGACAAACAATTTGCACGCATCCCACAAACTATGAAGTGATTGAATAATTGTATTTGAGGGATTGTTGGCCAGGACACTCTTTTTAATTATGCCATGGGATCTTTCGACATCTATCTAAACTGGTAGACAGGACCTCAGTTTAATTTTTCATCTGAAGGACGGCACCTCTGATAATGCAGCACCCCTCCTGCACTGCTTTGCAACATTAGCTCAGTGTTCCGATGTGGGGCTTGAACCAAATCTTCTGACCCAGAGGCCAGAGTGCCACCATCGAAACAAATAGATAAATGAGAGCTCAACATGCCTGCAGTCCAGGCTGACACAAAGTCAAACACAGTAAATAAAGTTTCTAATCAGGTTTGGAGCAAGACATTTTTATTGATAGAAGAGGGAGAAAATACAAAAGTGGGGGGAGGCCACTACCCCACCTCACCTTTGCCACCCCCTCAATCCTACCATCCCCTACTCTAGAGCACTCGTCTCGCAGGCGAGAGCACCCGGGATCGATTCCTAGGCTGGACGACACCTCAGGCAAGTTTCCTTCCTCAACATACCTCTGTTTACTAAGCAGTAAGTAGGAACCCGGTTGCTATTCGATTGGTGGATCGCTTTCTGGGGCTAATGATCCCTTTTATAAATAAACAAATAAATAAATAAATATTTGTGCTCAATCCACAACTGTTTGTGGGGACACTGCTGAGTGCAATTCGCTGCTGTGTTTTGCCCTCAAAATATAGTCAATTCACTTAACCATATATTTATTCTGTGAAGAAAACCTGGGCTTTACTTTTTCTTGGGGAAGGTTGGAACGTCTGCTATTTTCCCATGTGTTTTAAGAACTGAACAATCATGTGCTTTGAAGATTAATTAATGGCAAAGAAATGTACTTTGACCATTTATAGATAAATAAGAGCTCAACATGCCTGCAGTCCAATTTTGTACATAGTGTAAATTTGCAGATCAGCAAGGTTCAGTGAATAGCACAGGAATACTAATTTGCTTCAGGATAGCTCAACCTGAATGTTTAAGCAAGTTGCTTAGCCTCAACAGTTTCAGGGCTTGTAAACAACTAATGCTGTTTAAAATTCATTAATCGCTAATTCATTGAATTACTAAACTTTTGCTGAAACCCTGGTTTGATAGACACACTCATATACACATAAATGAAAAGCACAAATCAGGCACCAGGTTTGTCAGACCTTGTGGATAGCTGTTGGATTATAACTGAGCATTATATTGTATGTTATATTATTCACTCACAAAATATACAGTCAATTCACTTTGTAGTGTATTCTGTGAAACTCTTTGAGATGACTCAACAACATGATAGGGCGCTATATCAAATGCAAAGATTCTTCTTATTATCTCTGTACATTAAAGTATATTTTACAGTGAAACCATATCATCCTGCTCCACCATGATGTTTCACAAACTATTGTTTTCTGTCATGTAGTGCTGAACTGTATAGAAAATGTGTTTCCCGTAATCTTGGCATCTAGTGAGAGTGACAAAACATTAATGGGAAAGTTCAGAAGGCTTCTCAATGGATTGATTTACAGAAAATAAATATCTGCACTGGTTGACAATCGGATGAATAAATTGCTGAGGCATCAGCCTCAAAGTTGATGTCAGTATCAGGACCTATCATACGATAAACTCCCAGTCACTGCTTGTAAATTGAAGTTTGATGTTTCCATTTGGTGATTTTTAGAAGTTAAAGGATTGATGAAAAGTTGTTGGCTACTGACAATGGGAACAACTTTGAAATATTAAACAAAAACATTTTGCTATCTGAAAAGGATTTGTGTTTTTCTAACGCATAATTTTGTTTTGTTTAAAAATGTTTTGAGAAATTAGACCAAAACCTTTTTTCAAAATCTTTGCAGGTAAACCCAGATTTAATTCATCAATTTGAGAAGGAAGGTTTGAAGTTTGTGGGTCACGATATCGAAGGAAATCGAATGGAGATTTTTGAACTGGAAGGTAATTGGAAATTGCTTAGCTATGGCTGCCGTATCCATTCACTTTGATAGCTTTAGTCAGAGCATTTTACAAATGGTTTTTGTAGACAATATGCAGCAATTGGTGTCTTTAATATGTTCAATACAATGCAATTTATGTTATGCCCTTCACATTGGGTGGACATCTCAAAATATTTGAGAATGCTGGATGAGCACGCAAGCTGTGGTTGGGAGACTATGAAAGAGGAAAATACAAGCTAATTCACCCTTCATTATTGTGCCTGAATTGTGTTCTTGTCTCCAACATTTAGCAGCCAAATGATAATATATATCATTGAGAAATATTTTTAACCTGTCGGATGTCATAAGGCAGTGGTGTACTATGGTGTTTAAACGCTAAGTGCTTTGTGCATTGTGATTTTGTATTCCTGCCAACAACAAATTAATAAATTGCAACTCATTTTAATTGATGTATTTTTTTAAACTGCTGTGATAAAGTATTTAATGTATTTTAATATTGCTTCGAGGTTACTGTGCATCCCTAATGAAAATCAGATCTGAATACAGTAGTATGATGAGGTCGTTTTTACATAACGGGAAGCTAACTTAAATTTAAAACATGTACACTTCCACACTTTCATAAAGACATGTACAGTTTGAAATACCTTCAGCTTAATTTATGAGACTCATTAGCTAATGATAATTTAAACTTGTATGCAGTATTGTTGTATGCTTCATTAACTAGGAAGTATCCATCATACATGGCATTCAAATGCACAATGTTACCAGAATGATTTACATTCATGGAATCAGGTTGCGTATGCTCAGACAGACAAACGTTCAGAAATATGGCTGGGGTGGAAGGCCTGGTATGATGCATATTGTTCTGGATGAAGCCCTACAAGTTATAATACGAGAAACAATATCTGCAAGCTGTTGGACTGCAGCAGCCAAAATCTGGATGTGAGATGGGATCCACAAAATGGGCCACAGCTTTCTGCATCTTTCATGCAAGTCTGTTGTAAAGATGTAAATAGGGATTATTTTAATATTTTTTTTCTCCCCCGACTGTTCTCTCATTTTTGATTATCTCGGCATTGTTGGTAGGTTTTAAGGAATCAGAGAGTAGAGGAAATGGTAGGAAATTAAAAATGTTATTTCTGAATGCGTGAAGCATTCAGAATAAAACTGATGAATTAAAAGCACAGATAGACACATATGGGTACGATCTAGTAGCCATCACTGAAACATGGTTACAAGGAGATCTAGGGTGGGAGTTAAATATTCCAGGGTTCTCAGTTTACAGGAAAGATAGGCACTGTGGGAAAAGAGGTGGGTGGGGGTTAGCCCTGTTAATTAGGGATGAAATAAAAGCAGTGGAGAGGAAGGATCTGAAATCCGATGACCAGGAGATCGAGACAATATGGATGGAAATAAAAAATAATAAAGGGCAGAAAATATTAATGGGAGTGGTTTATAGACCCCCAAACAGCAATCACAATATAGCACAGGGTATCAATCAAGAAATCAGTTGAGCGCATAGGAAAGGTAAAGCGATAATAGTGGGTGATTTCAATCTCCACATAGATTGGGAAAACCAAATCGGCAAAAGTAGGTCAGAAAAAGAGTTCATTGAGTGTATGAGAGATAACTTTCTAGAGCAGCCGAGGAACCAACTAGGGGACAGGCCATCCTAGACCTTGTTTTGTGTAACGAAACAGGGCTAGTTGGCAGTGTAAGTATTAAGAATCCTCTAGGGCAGAGTGATCACAATATGATTGAATTCTGCATTAAGTTAGAGAGGGATATAGTTAAATCCGAGGCAAGTATTCTGAATTTAAATAGGGCTAATTTTGTAGGTATGAGGAAAGATTTAGGTAAAATAGACTGGAGAATAAGATTAAGAGGTAAAAATGTAGACAAACATTTAAGGATGTAGTGCAAAATTCTCAGCAGTCGCATATTCCCTTACGGAATAAGAGTACCACAGGGAAAGCAATTCATCCGTGGCAAATTAGAGCAGTTAGGGAAAGCATCAAATTGAAATAAAAGGCTTATAAAACTGCCAAGAAAAGCGGCAAATCTGAAGATTGGTAGAGTTTTGGAAACCAGTAAAATAAAACTAAAAAACTCATCAAGAGCGAGAAAAAGGAGTATGAGGGTAAGCTAGCTAGGAACATTAAGTCTGATTGTAAAAGTTTTTACAAATACATTAAGAGGAATAGGCTGGTGAGGGTAAATGTAGGTCCACTTCAGTCAGAGACGGGAGAAGTTCTAATGGGGGACAAGGACATGGAAGAGTCCCTAAATGGGTACTTTGCATCTGTCTTCACCCTAGAAGACACAACAAGTCTGTCAACAATAGAGATGCACCAAGGGGATAAGGACAGGGAGCAACTTAGGGACATTTTCTTCAGTAGAGAATTGGTGCTAGGGAAACTGTTAGCACTAAAAAGTGACAAATCCCCTGGTCCGGATGGCTTGCATCCCAGGGTTTTAAAAGAGGTAGCTTATGAGATAGTGGAGGCCTTATGTCTGATCTTCCAAAATTCCTTGGATTCTGGAACAGTCCCCATGGATTGGAAGATCGCAAATGTCACACCACTATTTAAAAAAGGTGGAAAGGAAAAGATGGGGAACTATAGGCCAGTTAGTCTCACATCAGTGATAGGAAAAATTTTAGAATCGTTGATTAAGGATGTGGTAGTGCAGTATTTAGAGGAGCACAATATAATTAGGCCAAGTCAACATGGCTTTACAAAAGGGAAGTTATGTTTGACAAATCTCATAGAATTTTTTGAGGATATTTCCAGTAAACTAGATAAGGGTGAATCAGTGGATGTGGTCTATTTGGACTTCCAGAAGGCATTCGATAAGGTGCCGCATAAAAGGTTAGTCCAAAAAATAAGGGCCCATGGAATTGGGGGGAGCATATTAACGTGGATTGGGGAATGGTTAACGGGTAGGAAACAAAGAGTAGGGATAAACGGGTCCTTTTCAGATTGGCGGGATGTGACTAGTGGAGTGCCACAAGGATCAGTCCTTGGGCCTCAGCTATTTACCATCTACATCAACGATCTAGATGAGGACATCAAAGTTAATATATCTAAATTCGCGGATGACACAAAACTAGGAGGAAGTGTCAACACAGAGGACGACATTAAAAAATTGCAGCGAGACATAGATAGGTTAGGTGATTGGGCAGGTAGGTGGCAGATGAAGTATAATGTAGGGAAGTGCGAAGTCATCCACCTAGGTAGCAAAAACAGTAGAGCGGGTTATTTTTTAGAAGGGGAGAGATTGGAATGTGTTAGCGTCCAGAGGGACTTGGGTGTCCTTGTACACCAATCACAGAAAGTTAGTCTGCAGGTGCAGCAAACAATTAGGAAGGCGAACGGTATGTTAGCATTCATTATGAAAGGATTAGAGTATAAGAGTAGGGAAGTCTTGCTGCAACTGTATAGGGCCCTGGTGAGACCACACCTGGAATACTGTGTGCAGTTTTGGTCTCCTTATTTAAGGAAGGATGTACTTGCCTTGGAGGGGGTGCAGCGTAGATTTACTAGGTTAGTACCAGGGATGAAGGGGATGAGTTACGAGGATAGGCTGACCAATTTGGGCCTATATTCTCTAGAATATAGAAGAATTAGAGGGGATCTTATAGAAACCTATAAGATCATCAAAGGGCATAATAGAGTAGATAGTGGGAGATTGTTTCCCCTGGTTGGAGAAACTAAAACCAGGAGTCACAACCTTAAAATCAGAGGCCAGCCCTTTCCCACTGAGTTGAGGAAGAACTTCTTCACTCAAAGGGTGGTGAATGTATGGAACTCACTACCCCAAAGGGCTGTTGACGCTCAGTCCTTGAACATATTCAAGACTGAGATAGATAGATTTCTTATTGCAAAAGGGATTAAGGGATATGGGGATAAGGCAGGGTCAGGTTAGTAGCTGGAGTTAGATTAGAAGATCAGCCATGATTGAATGGTGGGGCAGGCTCGAAGGGCCGAATGGCCTACTCCTGCTCCTACATGTTATGTTATGTTCAGATAAAGCTGAATAGTGCTGGTATCTTGGTCATGTGATCATTTTAGAGAAAACTGAAGGAGATTGTTGCAAACTGATACTGCACTGTTTCCACTCTACTTAGCAACTTCAAAATATATTAAGGGGAACTGTTCTGGGATTTTTCAACCTCCCAAGAGGGTTTTCAACCGCAGATAGTATCTGCTCATTGGAAGGGGGAATAATTGGGATACACAGACAACTGGTTAAGTAAAAGAACATGTTGATGTAATTTTCTAACCTTATCTTCCGGTTACTGCTTTTTCAACTGCATCTCAGAATGGAATTTTGTCCCCCTCTTTTAATTTGGGTTTTGCTGTGTGTTGGTGCTGTATGTGAACAGAGTTGTACAATTTCAGAGTGTGCTCTCATCTGCCATGTGTATGCTACAATGTCGATATCATTTCTCAGCTGTTTCAGTGCCCATTGGTGCTGTACTGGATTAGGTTGGTACGATTTTAGAGTGTACCCTCATCTACCGTGTCTAATACTACACTCTCCATATAATTTATCACCGATCAACAGCAAAGTGGTTCTCTGTTAATTTGCAGTGGATGAGGTGACCATCAATCCTTCAGTGTCAAGGATTTGCATCCATTACATAGCTGTTAGGAAATATCCTTACTTAACAACCACTCTAAAGAGAGTTAAATTAGCCATATATTGTGCAAAAATAAAACTAGCTCCAGAGTGATTCAGGGCAATAATTGAATCTTGGACATGTGTCCATCTGGAGGTTTATAATGCATTGTAAACCCTGACATTCAATTACTGTTGTGTAACTCATCGTGCTGTATTTAGTTTAGCTTGAAAATAAAGTTACTTGCCACAGGTCTGTTGCATCTGTTTCTTTTGTGAGTTTTTGCCTTTTATTGTTGTTTTTCCATGCATGGTTTCAGACAGTTTGATTTACAACAACAATAACTTGGATTTATATAGCGCCCTCCACCCCGGATG